GTTGGGTGTATAGGATATACCCCACAACAACCACAAGGGGAGGTTAGGGGGGTTGGGTGTATAGGATATACCCCACAACAACCACAAGGGGAGGTTAGGGGGGTTGGGTGTATAGGATATACCCCACAACAACCACAAGGGGAGGTTAGGGGGGTTGGGTGTATAGGATATACCCCACAACAACCACAAGGGGAGGTTAGGGGGGTTGGGTGTATAGGATATACCCCACAACAACCACAAGGGGAGGTTAGGGGGGTTGGGTGTATAGGATATACCCCACAACAACCACAAGGGGAGGTTAGGGGGGTTGGGTGTATAGGATATACCCCACAACAACCACAAGGGGAGGTTAGGGGGGTTGGGTGTATAGGATATACCCCACAACAACCACAAGGGGAGGTTAGGGGGGTTGGGTGTATAGGATATACCCCACAACAACCACAAGGGGAGGTTAGGGGGGTTGGGTGTATAGGATATACCCCACAACAACCACAAGGGGAGGTTAGGGGGGTTGGGTGTATAGGATATACCCCACAACAACCACAAGGGGAGGTTAGGGGGGTTGGGTGTATAGGATATACCCCACAACAACCACAAGGGGAGGTTAGGGGGGTTGGGTGTATAGGATATACCCCACAACAACCACAAGGGGAGGTTAGGGGGGTTGGGTGTATAGGATATACCCCACAACAACCACAAGGGGAGGTTAGGGGGGTTGGGTGTATAGGATATACCCCACAACAACCACAAGGGGAGGTTAGGGGGGTTGGGTGTATAGGATATACCCCACAACAACCACAAGGGGAGGTTAGGGGGGTTGGGTGTATAGGATATACCCCACAACAACCACAAGGGGAGGTTAGGGGGGTTGGGTGTATAGGATATACCCCACAACAACCACAAGGGGAGGTTAGGGGGGTTGGGTGTATAGGATATACCCCACAACAACCACAAGGGGAGGTTAGGGGGGTTGGGTGTATAGGATATACCCCACAACAACCACAAGGGGAGGTTAGGGGGGTTGGGTGTATAGGATATACCCCACAACAACCACAAGGGGAGGTTAGGGGGGTTGGGTGTATAGGATATACCCCACAACAACCACAAGGGGAGGTTAGGGGGGTTGGGTGTATAGGATATACCCCACAACAACCACAAGGGGAGGTTAGGGGGGTTGGGTGTATAGGATATACCCCACAACAACCACAAGGGGAGGTTAGGGGGGTTGGGTGTATAGGATATACCCCACAACAACCACAAGGGGAGGTTAGGGGGGTTGGGTGTATAGGATATACCCCACAACAACCACAAGGGGAGGTTAGGGGGGTTGGGTGTATAGGATATACCCCACAACAACCACAAGGGGAGGTTAGGGGGGTTGGGTGTATAGGATATACCCCACAACAACCACAAGGGGAGGTTAGGGGGGTTGGGTGTATAGGATATACCCCACAACAACCACAAGGGGAGGTTAGGGGGGTTGGGTGTATAGGATATACCCCACAACAACCACAAGGGGAGGTTAGGGGGGTTGGGTGTATAGGATATACCCCACAACAACCACAAGGGGAGGTTAGGGGGGTTGGGTGTATAGGATATACCCCACAACAACCACAAGGGGAGGTTAGGGGGGTTGGGTGTATAGGATATACCCCACAACAACCACAAGGGGAGGTTAGGGGGGTTGGGTGTATAGGATATACCCCACAACAACCACAAGGGGAGGTTAGGGGGGTTGGGTGTATAGGATATACCCCACAACAACCACAAGGGGAGGTTAGGGGGGTTGGGTGTATAGGATATACCCCACAACAACCACAAGGGGAGGTTAGGGGGGTTGGGTGTATAGGATATACCCCACAACAACCACAAGGGGAGGTTAGGGGGGTTGGGTGTATAGGATATACCCCACAACAACCACAAGGGGAGGTTAGGGGGGTGGGTGTATAGGATATACCCCACAACAACCACAAGGGGAGGTTAGGGGGGTGGGGTGTATAGGATATACCCCACAACAACCACAAGGGGAGGTTAGGGGGGTTGGGTGTATAGGATATACCCCACAACAACCACAAGGGGAGGTTAGGGGGGTTGGGTGTATAGGATATACCCCACAACAACCACAAGGGGAGGTTAGGGGGGTTGGGTGTATAGGATATACCCCACAACAACCACAAGGGGAGGTTAGGGGGGTTGGGTGTATAGGATATACCCCACAACAACCACAAGGGGAGGTTAGGGGGGTTGGGTGTATAGGATATACCCCACAACAACCACAAGGGGAGGTTAGGGGGGTGGGTGTATAGGATATACCCCACAACAACCACAAGGGGAGGTTAGGGGGGTTAGGGGGGGGGTGTATAGGATATACCCCACAACAACCACAAGGGGAGGTTAGGGGGGTGGGGTGTATAGGATATACCCCACAACAACCACAAGGGGAGGTTAGGGGGGTTGGGTGTATAGGATATACCCCACAACAACCACAAGGGGAGGTTAGGGGGGTGGGGTGTATAGGATATACCCCACAACAACCACAAGGGGAGGTTAGGGGGGTTGGGTGTATAGGATATACCCCACAACAACCACAAGGGGAGGTTAGGGGGGTAGGGGGGGGGTGTATAGGATATACCCCACAACAACCACAAGGGGAGGTTAGGGGGGTGGGGTGTATAGGATATACCCCACAACAACCACAAGGGGAGGTTAGGGGGGTGGGGTGTATAGGATATACCCCACAACAACCACAAGGGGAGGTTAGGGGGGTGGGGTGTATAGGATATACCCCACAACAACCACAAGGGGAGGTTAGGGGGGTGGGGTGTATAGGTTAGGGGAGGTTAGGGGGGTGGGGTGTATAGGATATACCCCACAACAACCACAAGGGGAGGTTAGGGGGGTTGGGTGTATAGGATATACCCCACAACAACCACAAGGGGAGGTTAGGGGGGTTGGGTGTATAGGATATACCCCACAACAACCACAAGGGGAGGTTAGGGGGGTTGGGTGTATAGGATATACCCCACAACAACCACAAGGGGAGGTTAGGGGGGTTGGGTGTATAGGATATACCCCACAACAACCACAAGGGGAGGTTAGGGGGGTTGGGTGTATAGGATATACCCCACAACAACCACAAGGGGAGGTTAGGGGGGTTGGGTGTATAGGATATACCCCACAACAACCACAAGGGGAGGTTAGGGGGGTTGGGTGTATAGGATATACCCCACAACAACCACAAGGGGAGGTTAGGGGGGTTGGGTGTATAGGATATACCCCACAACAACCACAAGGGGGGTTGGGGTATAGGATTAGGGGGGGTTGGGTGTATAGGATATACCCCACAACAACCACAAGGGGAGGTTAGGGGGGTTGGGTGTATAGGATATACCCCACAACAACCACAAGGGGAGGTTAGGGGGGTTGGGTGTATAGGATATACCCCACAACAACCGCGAGGTAAGGTTAGGGGGGTTGGAATATCGTATGTATAAAACAACTAAAACCATACAACCCGTATCACTTTATTAGAAGATGGAGCACGTACTAGATAAAATTTATTATAACCCCGCATCCTCAGGAGGGTTAGGGGGGGGGTCAATAGGTTGTATAAAGCAGCGAAAACCATAAAGCCAGATATAACTTTATCAGATGTGAAAGAACACTTGAAATCGTCTAAAGCTTACACTTTGCACGCATTAAAACCTCGCAAATTTCAGCGAAGAAAGGTGCTGAGTCCTAAACCCCGTATATATTTAGCTTGTGATTTAGCAGAAATGGGATTATTGGCTAAACACAATGATGATGTCAAATACATTCTCGTCTGTGTCGATATTTTTCACGGTATGCGCAAGTCGCACCTCTGATACGCAAAGATGGACAGACTGTGAGTAAAGCTCTGAAAAACATATTGGAATCCTCATATTTCCAAGGAATACGTAAAATTAATACAGATCAAGGGGGTGAATTTTATAATTCACATATGCAACAAATGCTGGCGGCTAAAAATATTAAACTGTACAGAGTATTTTCTCAAGAAACAAAACCCTGCCATCGCCAAACGCTTTATACGTACCATGAATACTAAGATTTATAAATATATGACTGCGCACAATACCTCGAAATATCTGCCCATATTGCCTGATATCATAAAGGCGTATAACACAACACCCCACCGAGGGTTAGGTGGTCGGACTCCAGTTGACGTTCATGCTTTATCTCGTCCACAAGATATAAAGAAACAGTTCAATCTCATGTATAAAAGTAAGGACAAACCTAAAGCAGGTCTTAGTTCTCTACTAGCTGTCGGGGACACAGTTCGCATTACTCTCTCCAACAGAATTTCGACATTCAAGAAAGGTTTTGCTAGACAAAACACGGAAGAAATTTTCAGAATTATTCGTATAGATAAAAGCCAGCCTATCCCATTATATTTGTTACAAGATTTGAATAAAAAGCCTATTGACGGAGGGTTTTATAAGGAAGAATTAACCCTAACCCATTTACCAGCTGCATTTAATATTGAGAAGGTGCTACGTAAACGTACATTACCCAATAATAAATTACAGTATAAAGTAAGGTACGAAGGCTACGATTCTTCATTTGATCAGTGGATTGATGCTGATGATTTGTTGAAGATATGAAGAAGCCATTAGTATACATGTACAGAGAGTTGGTGACCTTGCTGAGCAAACTCAATTCCTCAGCCAGGAAAAAATTGATTGCTCAGTTTAAAAAAAAACACATTCATTGCTTATCAGAGATTTTCAAAAATTTCCTGAAAAATAGGCTTCCGGTTAAAAAGAAAGTTATAGTCAAATTAAAGAAATACAGAGACACCTTGCATTCGCTAGCTTGCAAGAAACCCTCAATTTCAAACAAAAAGCGCATTTTATTGACTCGTAAAGGAGGCAGTATCCTCGGTATATTATTACCCATAGCTGCTAGTTTAATTACCAGGTTATTTAATAAATAAAAAATGAAAGAATATTATCTAGTACCTCGTAAATCCATCGATGAGGGACCTGCTAAAGTAGCAGTAGTAAAGAAAGCAGAAGTAGCGCCATCACTAGCTCCAACACCAGCAGCAAGTACTCCAGTAGCACCAGTTTCAGTACGAGCTAATCCTTCAATAGTACATTTGGTACATTTAAAATTGAAAGCTAAAGATCATGATTATGCTACTTCGCTGTTAAATTATTTTGATGAAAGCAAGATGGTGCAATGGGACGTCAATGGGAATCTTCAAATGCCAGAGACTGGATTAAACATAATTGATGATATTTTAACTAAAATGATGATTCACCGCTCTGTATTCCTACGAAAAAAATTACCGCTGGTTAAATTATTCATCTCTTTAACCTCAACTCCACGAGAAATGTTTAGGAATACAGAATCTCGTAAACAAGTATTTAATGAAGAACCAGACAGCCAGTACACCAGCTGTGGCCGCTACTGTGGAGGACCAGCCAGCCAGTACACCAGCTGTGGCCGCTACTGTGGAGGTCCAGCCAGCCAGTACACCAGCTGTGGCCGCTACTGTGGAGGACCAGCCAGCCAGTACACCAGCTGTGGCCGCTACTGTGAAGGTCCAGCCAGCCAGTACACCAGCTGTGGCCGCTACTGTGAAGGTCCAGCCAGCCAGTACACCAGCTGTGGCCGCTACTGTGAAGGTCCAGCCAGCCAGTACACCAGCTGTGGCCGCTACTGTGAAGGTCCAGCCAGCCAGTACACCAGCTGTGGCCTACTACAGCTGTGGCTGCTACTGTGAAGGTCCAGCCAGCCAGTACACCAGCTGTGGCCGCTACTGTGGAGGACCAGCCAGCCAGTACACCAGCTGTGGCCGCTACTGTGGAGGACCAGCCAGCCAGTACACCAGCTGTGGCCGCTACTGTGGAGGACCAGCCAGCCAGTACACCAGCTGTGGCCGCTACTGTGGAGGACCAGCCAGCCAGTACACCAGCTGTGGCCGCTACTGTGGAGGACCAGCCAGCCAGTACACCAGCTGTGGCCGCTACTGTGGAGGACCAGCCAGCCAGTACACCAGCTGTGGCCGCTACTGTGAAGGTCCAGCCAGCCAGTACACCAGCTGTGGCCGCTACTGTGGAGGACCAGCCAGTACACCAGCTGTGGCCGCTACTGTGGAGGACCAGCCAGCCAGTACACCAGCTGTGGCCGCTACTGTGAAGGTCCAGCCAGCCAGTACACCAGCTGTGGCCGCTACTGTGAAGGTCCAGCCAGCCAGTACACCAGCTGTGGCCGCTACTGTGGAGGACCAGCCAGCCAGTACACCAGCTGTGGCCGCTACTGTGAAGGTCCAGCCAGCCAGTACACCAGCTGTGGCCGCTACTGTGAAGGTCCAGCCAGCCAGTACACCAGCTGTGGCCGCTACTGTGGAGGACCAGCCAGCCAGTACACAAGCTGTGGCCGCAACTGTGGAGGACCAGCCAGTACACCAGCTGTGGCCGCTACTGTGGAGGACCAGCCAGTACACCAGCTGTGGCCGCTACTTTGGAGGACCAGCCAATACACCAGCTGTGGCCGCTACTGTGGAGGACCAGCCAGCCAGTACACCAGCTGTGGCCGCTACTGTGGAGGTCCAACCAGCCAGTACACCAGATGTGGCCGCTACTGTGGAGGACCAGCCAGTACACCAGCTGTGGCCGCTACTGTGAAGGTCCAGCCAGCCAGTACACCAGCTGTGGCCGCTACTGTGAAGGTCCAGCCAGCCAGTACACCAACTGTGGCCGCTACTGTGGAGGACCAGCCAGCCAGTACACAAGCTGTGGCCGCTACTGTGGAGGACCAGCCAGTACACCAGCTGTGGCCGCTACTGTGGAGGACCAGCCAGTACACCAGCTGTGGCCGCTACTGTGGAGGACCAGCCAGCCAGTACACCAGCTGTGGCCGCTACTGTGGAGGACCAGCCAGCCAGTACACCAGCTGTGGCCGCTACTGTGGAGGTCCAACCAGCCAGTACACCAGCTGTGGCCGCTACTTTGGAGGACCAGCCAATACACCAGCTGTGGCCGCTACTGTGGAGGACCAGCCAGCCAGTACACCAGCTGTGGCCGCTACTGTGGAGGTCCAACCAGCCAGTACACCAGCTGTGGCCGCTACTGTGAAGGTCCAGCCAGCCAGTACACAAGCTGTGGCCGCTACTGTGGAGGACCAGCCAGCCAGTACACCAGCTGTGGCCGCTACTGTGGAGGACCAGCCAGCCAGTACACCAGCTGTGGCCGCTACTGTGAAGGTCCAGCCAGCCAGTACACCAGCTGTGGCCAGTACTGTGGAGGACGAGCCAGTACACCAGCTGTGGCCGCTACTGTGGAGGACCAGCCAGCCAGTACACCAGCTGTGGCCAGTACTGTGGAGGACCAGCCAGCCAGTACACCAGTCCTGGCCGCTACTGTGAAGGTCCAGCAGCACTGGCTTAGTTGTGATCAGAAATGTTTTAGTCATATTGAAATTATGGTTAATAGGACTAATATTAATTTATCATAAAACTTAGCTGAAGTCAATCAATAGTTAATTGTGCATTAGTATAAATGTGGAAGACATTGTTCAAGTGTTAGTCATAAGGGTTCCAGGGTATTACTGATTGGTCTCAAGTCTTACCTATGTTTTGTGATGAGTTTCTATCTGGCTCACTTCCTTCCTTTACCCTGAGAAAAATAAGTTCATTAAAATTAATTCTATAACTCTCTCTATATATTTTAAGACGACTAGGAAAACCAGGGATGTACTGAACATCTTGTTTCAGATTCTTAATTTAAAATGCATAAGTTTCGAATACTTCTCGTATTCATCATCAGATCTATAAGAAAAATCAGAAATCACAATCAAATAATTAGTAAACAAAGAACTAAAGAACTCTACTGAATATAATTGCCTATGAAAGAGAAGGAAAAATATTAAAAAACAAAGCACTTAAGCTCACTTAAAGTGATCGATACAAATAAAAATAAAACTTTTTAACTATCACATAGATAAAAGCTAAATGAAAAAATTAATGAAATTACAAGAGGAATTTTGTAACAACTATAACAAACCATACTACTAAACTTAGAGGAAGTGATCAACTAGAGTAAAACTTTATAATTAACACATGGGTACTAAACGCTATTACAAATAATAATATAATGACTCCACATCTACAAAAATGTATATAAAATGCAAGCAAAATAGACGACAATTATAAAGTACTAACCAAAATATTATAAAAACTCAAATAAAACAAAACTGAGTATCAACAAATGTATTATATATCCTAAATAAAAAGATTATAATAATGTACAATGTCAAAACATGAAATAAGTAGGAATGGGCGAAGACATGGTAAACTAAACAAATTATAATAAAATTAAAATGCCAGCATGAACTATAAATCAAGTTACAGGGCCTACTGTGCACTATACAGTGTACAATTGAACAGCCGAAAGATTGCTATTTAACAGAGGCCGCAGCTCCCTTATATATGAGGAATCCATTACTCTCAAATCTGACTGGCCATTCATACAAGTGTTCAGAATTTTAAAATCATATTCCAGCAGAGAATGATTAAACTCATAACAATGGTTTCTAATCTCCGAAAATGCTGGTTTAGATAATGGTAATCCAGTACTAAAGGATACTCTCCGGTGCTCAGGTATCCTAATCTGAAAGTTCCGAATGGAACTCCCGATATATCCAGCATTACAGCTGGAACAATTATACATATGTACGACATTAGAGCACAGGGGAGGGGGGGGGGGGGCAGGCACTTTATCCTTAAATTTAAAATAAGAGCCTATGGTATTTGTGTTGACAAAAATAAATCTAAAGTCTACTTGAGGATAACACTGCTGCAACAGTCTCCTCAAATGACTCCTTACAGAAAAACTAATACTGCCATAAAATGGTAATTTAATATATTTAATATCCCTTTCCACTGTAGTAATCCTACACGATGGGTGAAACTTCTTATTTAAGAAATTCCTTATAAAGGTATAAACCATATGCAAAGGATAACCATTATTTGAAAAAAAAATCACAAGAAAATTAATGTCTTGATCAAAGTTATTCCAATTTGAACATAAAACGAAGGCCCTATTCAGTAGAGTATTAATAGCATTTTTCTTAAAAATATCAGGAACAAAAGAATTAAAATTGAAACCTAAACCAGTAAAAGTTGGGTTTCTAAAAACTTTAGTGTTGAACCCATTAAGGTTATTCACTTTGATATCAAGAAACGACAATGAATTATCCACTTCACACTCTGCAGTGAAACGTATGTTGTGCATTAAGAAATTCTCTAAATTTCTCAATATGACATTGGTCCTTAAATAACAAAATTGTGTCATCTACATATCTCCTGTGCAAGACTGGTTTAAAGTCCAAAGGACATTTATCAAGCCAATTTTTTTCATGAAAACTCAAAAAAGCATTAGCAAGTGCAGGACCTAAGGGAGAACCCATTGCTACTCCATCAATTTGTTTATAATATTTATTAATTCTAACAACCGTCTGAATATTTTACAACAAAATCCAGACACTAAATTAGTGTCAGCAAATAACTGATTAACACAATTATCAATGGTTTCCAACAAAGGAATATTAGTAAAGAGTGATTCAACATCGAAACTGGCCATTATAGTTGGAATACAAAATTTAAAGAAGAAAGTTCCGTTGCAAAATCCTGAGAATTTCTCACAGTAAATTCATTATCCGTTAATGGTTCTAATAATGGAACCAGAAAGTTTGCCAGTTTATAATTAAAAGTACCAATCACTGATAAAATAGGACGAATCGGTATACCTGTTTTATGAACCTTAGGTAACCCATATAAGATGCCTGGCTTATAGCAAGTTGCAATCAATTTTGTATAATCAAAAAGAAAGTCTTTCAGACCTCTTAAAACTCTATTTAGTTTATCCTCACATTTCAAAATATACGAAAAGGGGTCAATATCAACCAACTTAAATTTAGAGGGGTCTTCTAACAATCTTTCAACCTTATTCACATAATCTAACTTGTCCAACACCACTACACCCCTACCTTTATCTGGTCTAGCAATACAAATACTGGTCTAGTAATTAGTAGCCTCACCACAGCTGGATGCCCAGCTGAAAGAGCCCCGTTACCTAACGCCCCGTAACTCTGATGCTCTTATTGGTCGCCCAGATGGTATCACAGTGAACCTCTGGAAGAACGGCAAGCAGTTGGTATGGGACTACACGTGCGTATCAACCCTGGCTAACACCTACATTAACCTCAGTGTTGCACAACCAGGTGGCGCTGCCACCCACAGGGAAGCAGCCAAATCCCGTAAGTACAGAAAACTGGATCACCACTACAATTTTGTCCCCATTGCTTCTGAGACACTAGGCGCCTGGGGTAAAAGTGCTACCAGTTTTTTGAAGAAACTGGGTTCTAAGCTCATTGAAACAACAAGGCACCCTTGAGCTGCCAGCTTTCTTTTCCAGCGCCTCAGCGTGGCGATACAGAGAGGAAATGCACATTGTATTCAGGGTTCCTGCCCGCGATCTGAGGAGCTGGAGGAACTCGACAACTTATGTTAACCATATTTGAACCCTATATGTAACTACTTTTTTGTAACAAAGTTCAAATAAAACAAATATATATGTGTACATACAAAAGAATGGGGGTGGTAGGAGAAGATAATATTAGTGTTCAGTGAGAAACCACAAGGTCTTCTCTGAATACTTCTTATTTTCTTTTCCGAGGCTATGGGTCCCCACATTGGCACCAGAGGTGGTTCCCTCACAAACTTTTATATATATATATATATATATATATATATATATATATATATATATATATATATATATATATATATATATATATATATATATATATATATATATATATATATATATATTATTAAATATGACCGAAAAAGTAAGATTAATAATTCTAACACGAATTTTCTCAATATTTCTTATGGTTCTTTTCACTGTTGATGGTAATTGAAAAATCAATTCTCCAAAATTCATTTTTATTTCTAGTCTGACGCGACACTTATACTGTCCCCCGAGCTCAAAGCGGCAGCTAAGAGCCTTCGTGAGAACAAGGAGATAGTCGTCAGAAGAGGTGACAAGTCGCCAATATACGTCATTCTTTAAAAAGACGAATATCTGGCGAAAATGAACGTCATTCTCTCTGACCAAACTAAATTCCAAAGGGTAACGAAAGACACTACAGCCGAACTGAAAGCAAAGGTCAACAAATTGATCGAAACTATGAACGCCAAGAAATCCGAACTCCACCTGCCAAAGATTATTGGGGAATATAAACCTGGATACGCGTATGGAAATGTTAAGACACGTAAGCCTGGAAACCCACTTCGGCCAATCATCAGCCAGATACCCACACCCACGTACAGACTGGCGAAGTGACTCAACGGCTTGCCGACTCCTTATGTCCTTTGCGCCTTCAGCCTGAAGTCTCCAAAGGAATTTGTTGACTTACTGCGGGGAACACGGGCCACAGGGATAAGAGCCTCGTTGGACATAGAATCACTGCTTACCAACGTTCCTGTGGATGAAACAATCGGGATGATAGCGGACAGAGTGTATCGTGATCCGGCCTGTACTCCTCTTGACATACCAGAAAACGTTCTAAGGAAACTACTCCAAGCTTTTACTAAAGAGGTACCCTTCTAGAGCCCGGATGGGCACATGTATAAGCAAGTAGATGGGGTCGCCATGGGTTCTTCCCTAGGTGTCCTGTTTGCGAACTTCTACATGGGTACCATCGAACAAAAGGTCTTAGTCGACATGAACTTGAAACCGGCCATATACGGCAGGTATGTTGACGACATTTTTACACAGGTACCTGATGTCAGACATCTGCAGGAGCTGAAGGAGGCATTTGAGCGGAATTCTGTGTTGTGTTTCACTTACGAGATGGAGAAGGATGGGAAGCTGCCCTTTCTAGATGTAACAGTCATGGAGCTGTGGTGTTGTGTGTTACTGAGGAAGACAACAACATCTCTTGGTTGTAGGGTTGATATAAAGTCATGGCTTGGTTACTGACTTTAATACTTAAACTGATACATGACTAGTGGCTTCCAAGCTTCCAAACTGGTAGCGTCCTGTACGCTCTTGTTTACCTCTCTCGGCGTCTGACTCCGCCGCACATAGAAAACGGATGGTACCATTTTCTGTGAACATGACATCCCTCCTTTTCTTTAAAAAGAATGATTACAGGATGTCTACCATGCTTGTAGCACAAAGCAAAGTTATTGACACAAAGTAAGTTTTTAGCATATGAAAAGATGTTGCATATATTTAACATTAATTAAGCACACAAAGAATTTAAACTTAATCTTTACCACACAGGATATTAATGTTTAAAATACATATGCAAATGTTAAATAAAAATTAAAGAAACTGTACTACAAAGTTACAAAATATTGAATTAAAGATCTGCATTATTCAAACAATATTAAATTTAGTTTAGCATAATAAGTAAAAACTTTGCAATACATATGAACACAATTAATCATCAAATCACGTAGGGCGTTTAACATGACGTTTAGGACGAGAGTCCTTAAATACAAGAATATCCCTTGATGAATTGTTTATTGAGTTATAACTCATTTTTTCTTTATCCTTTGCACGACTTTGCAGTTCATCATTTTCTACACTAGTTGGAATAACTT